TTTGCTTACTTGTTTTTTATGCAGGAAGTATTGAAAGAAAAATACTCTACATATAATTTCACTATATATGTCAGAATAAACGATTTATCTCGGATTAATAGGTTAAACTACAATTGAAATATAAATATTATAACTAAAATAATTATGTTTTTTTAATTTAACATGTTTCCATTCTAAACCAAAATCTGAAGGATTCTAGATCAAATTTCATTTTGGTGTCCGAGCAAAGGAAATTTGTGTACATAATATGAACCATGAAAAATAGTCAATTTTGGTTCTTCTTCCTTCTAAAACGAGGTGCAGAATTTTGCATAAGCTCACATGAAATACGACTTTAACCCTAAAATGTGTTTTTAATATTTATGAATTCGTGGCATTTAGATAAGATTTAGAATTATGTAGTCGAATTTTATTCTTAATAAATACAGCAAATTATTCTACCTTTTATTCCAAGTAAACCTTTCTCCCCCATCCTCTCTTTTGCCGTCTATGACCTGACAATCTCGACCGGCCAGTTTAAAGAACCTCAACAAAAATTGAAGCGGTCATTTTTATTTAATGTGGCTACCAGCGGTGTGTGCGGCGTTATGTGGCTAGATTTTGCATCTAATAGACCGCAAATACAGCATAATGTTTAATGTAATTGTAAACCCTTTTTATGGTAAATCCGAACAGTTCGCAAAAAAGCAAGAAAAAAAAAAACAAAAATAATTGCCGATCCATAGCTTGGCGGCTGGCTAGTGCGATAACTTCATTGAAGTGAGCGTAAGTGTAAGTAACTTTTGCAAATGAACCTATGACGATGTGGTTGTCGATATGCCTACCCAACACGGCTTGATAAATAATGAGCGAGTGAACGGCGGCGGCGGCTTGAGATCAATGAAACGGAAAAGCTTGAAAAGTTATCTCAGTAACAGCAGCAGACGGACAAACCGATCAATGGACGGACGGGGTCTTTGCCACCACATCACAGCAGCGACAAGGCGGCATGTCGTACGATTTCAAAAACTTAAGTAGAGATAGATGTGGTGGCGATCGAACGAAATGAAATGAAACGATGACGACGACGACGGACGAAACGTGTCATGGTGGTGGCAGCACAAGTAAGAGGCGGAACAGGGAGCTGACACATTGAAGTGCATAGATAGACTAGATCTTGGAAATGTATCTCAAGTCAGAGAGAGGGACGGAACGGAACGGGACCTCCACAGGCAGTTGGGGCAAAATGCAAATGTTTTAAAACGTTTTGACTTGATTTAGAGGTTGTAATGACTTGGCTTAAGGTATCAGTTTACCTACAAGTTAATGATATCCGGTTACAATAACAACGCCGTATAGGTTGGATAAATACCCGGCTTTTCTAGTCGAAGGGGAAAATGTCCGTCCACAATTGTGTTTTTTTTTTTTGTGTCCACTCGAAATGAGTGTTGGTTATTAAGAAGAAAAAAAAGAAATAACAGCGAATTGCGACTGCCGCTGTCGCTACCACCAACGTTGTCGGCTTTATCATCTGTGAGACATTCTCCCAAACAACCAGCCTGCCTGCCAGCCGAACATCAATCCCAACAGCCATCCATCCATCCATCATAAGTATATCACATGTGAAAAAATATGATGATAGAGTTTTTTTTTTTTTTTTTTTTGTTTGTTCTCAGTTTGGGTTTAATGAGAAATATCAGCAACAACAACAAGAGCACATTTTCAAAACCCCAAACCACACACAATTCCTAACAAACTTTATTGTGGTTTCACATTGTAGCGCTTGTTTGTGTTTTGGGAAATGGTGAAGAGTTAGGGACCCAATAAAGAGAAACACTTGTTTCAGTTGTTGTTTTTGCTGTTGTCGGAATTCGAGATCATATGAACGCAAATCGTGCAACACACAACGTTGTGGGTTAAATGGCCATAACGTATGCAGTTAATTAATAGCAGAGCGAAATGCTATACATTTTCATGAAAATTCCAACGTTATTAATCAGGTAATATATCAAAATAAAATACACACAAGTATAAAACTTAGACGAGCGGAAGAGGTAATATAAAACATTTTGTAATAGAAAACAATTGTAAGGAAAAGATCAAAGTCGGGCGGACCGATTATATACCTTAACAAATTAAATTATGAGTCTGAACAGATTTTCTGATAAATTTTCAGAGATTTTTCTATGACTTATATGATGTCTCCTACCAACATCATTGATATCGGTAGCATATTACGGCTTTCTGTAGCTTAAAACTCAAATCGGCAGCACCATGCATACACGAGTTACAGCTACATCTGAATCGATCTTCACCAAATTCTAGAGATTAATTCTATGCGGAGTTCAGCTTTATATATACAAATTTATCTCATGAACTCGGTTGAAGATATATATGGTGGCTATATCCAAATATGAACGGATTTTGCCAAAATCTTAAATATGTACTTTTGGGTTATTTCATAACAAACATTCCATCATACATGGAGGATTGATCACCCTACAAAATTATATTATTGATCAACATAAGATTCTAAGTCGTTTTAGTCATGTCCCTCTATCTGTCTGTCCGACTGTGGAAATCAGAGTCCGAACGGAGTGAATTAGATAGGCAAATTTTCACTCAAATTCATTTTAGGCCCGTATAATCTTTGACATTGAAAATGGGTTATATATCCATGTTTGTTATAGCGGGTGAGATGAAAAACTGCAACCAACTTCTGACTGCTGTCATTTCTAAGCCACTCATCCAACAGTTGTTACAATTATTCCAGTGTGAGCGAAAATATTCTGGAGGGTGTATTAAAGCCTTGGGCACGCAAGCATTTTGGCCGCAGACCTTGGACATTCAAACAGGACTCAGCACCATCGCACTCAGCACGCGCCACCTAAGAATGGTTACAGAATGAGGTTCATCGCTTCATTTCCACCGCACAATGGTCACCAAAACCTCCGGATACCAATACGTCTGAAGTATTTTGGAAAGCAATGGTGGCACCAAAAAATACCAAGGTGTCGATCACCACAAGCAAGAGATTCGCCGGGAATGGGCCAAAATACCGCAGAACAACATTCGAGCAGCGTGTGACGGTTTCATTGGCCGTCCATGAAGACCATAATTCGTGCCAAAGGTGACCAATTCGAACAAATCTAAACTTATTCTAAAATTTGATGCTATTTCTGACATTTTTTGCGTTCATTCAATAAATTAAAAAAAATGTAAAAAGTATGGCGTTTGACTTTGTTGCAGATTTTTTAGCAGTTTGTGTTCCCAAAAGAAAGGGTCCTTGCAGAAAACTGTACACCTATGCCCAAGTTTTGTTAAAAACCCAATATAATTCTATCTCACGATATTTGGTATTTTTGATTTGTGTCACTACCAGAATTGTTTCAAATTTGTGTTTGGAGTTCGTAATGGATATAACCTTCCATGATAGAAAATTGTCTACACAGGTTCACGTGTTCGCATTGCCCGTATCAAGGGATACTCGTTTAAGAGCTAAAATGCATTTTTATACTTTTCGACTTTTACCTACGACAAAATCCAAATTATTCATTGAATGTATTCGTTTATCGATTTTTGATTTTTAAATGTTTCTTGGTGAACATTTTTGAAAAAAGTCATTTGGAGATTTCTGGAGAGATTCTGGGTACGGGAATATCAAGCAAATTTTGAAAGTAAAACTAAAAAAAAAGAAACCTGCATCGTATTTTGAATTTGAAAGTTTACATCGCAAATTAGCCTTAACGAAGGGATGGCAAGTTCCCCCCCTTCCACACTTTTGGAAATTTTCGAATAAAGATTCCTCGGAATTCGTGCATTTATACAAAAAATATTTTGGTAGAAAAATTTTCCTTGAACTTTTTTCGAGTTGAAGCTTGAAAGTAATATAAAATTTCCTTTTAGGTGGTTCAAAAGAGGAAATATTCTACTCAAAATTTCACTATTCATATCGGAATAATCCATATATCTAGGCACAATAGTTTTTATGAAAATTACATTCCAACATTTATGTACTAAAATTGCAAATGATGTCTTTGCTTTTTTACTGTTAATTTAAAATATAACCAGTCCGCTAAAAAGCCCTCTTTATACTTCAGTAAGAATTATTCTAGATCATGAATATCGTTGTTACGGAGTGCATATTACGGCTGTGGGTAACAAATATGACAAATCGGATGAACAGTACATATGGGAGCTATAGCTATATCTGATCCGATTTCGATCAAATTTGGCATACTTATTTTGAGGTCCAATCTGATCGTACGTGCAAATTCCATACTATTCGGACTGATGTTACACGTTTGGTGCACAATAAAAGGCAAATCGGACGAAGATATGTATGGGAGCTATATCTAAATTTTGACCGATTATCTCCAATTTCAATAGGATTCGTCCTCGGGCCAAACAAATGATTTGTGCAAAATTTCATCTGGATAGGGCAATAAATGCGAACTGTACTTTGTTTACAAAAATACATGGACAGACGGACGGACAGACGGACGGTTGGACGGACGGACGGACGGATAGACGGACGGACGGACATGCATAAATCGACTCAGAATGTGATTCTATGCACATGATCAAAAGGAACTATGGGTCTATCTCGTTTCCTTTTGCCTGTTACAAACAAATGCACAAAGACATAATACCCTGACCACCTTGTGGTGTAGGGTATAAAAAACATACATATTTGTTTAAGAACATACATATTTGAACAATTTAGAACTTTTACCCAATTCGCTGAAAATGTTCTAATAATTTCATTGCAAAATAGACAATTTGATTTGTGGAAAATGTCAAGAGGACTAAATATGTTGTTATATAGTTTAGAGCATATACAATATACAATTTAGAACTCGTCCAAAACAAGAGATAAAATTTGAGAGTTGAAATTAAAAAATAAAAATTGTTTGTAATTAAAAATCCCCGATATTTCTGCAAAAATGGATTTTTCTCTTTGTGAAAATATTGTATTTATATTGTTATTATTATTCGATTTGCTTTTCTTTGGCACTTACCTATTTTTAGCGGCCGCCGCTCTATCACGTTGACGACGATTTTTAAACCAATTACCCACCTGAGTGGGATTAAGTCCCGTCGCTTTGGCTAATTCACGTTTTTTCGTTGGATTCGGATATGGATCCTGTAGGTACCATTCACGCAGGAGACTTCTCGTGCGTTCCTTGAAACAATGTGTTTTCTGTTCACCATCCCAGATTGTCGGTGGTAAGGGAAATTTTTTCCTTACGCGATATTTGTCGACGGGACCTATAGCGAGAAATAAAACCAAAAAAATTCAAGAAATTAATTATTTAAAATTTAAAACAAAAACAAATAAACGAAATTAGCAAAGGAATTTAAATTTGGCCTGCTTTACCCTTATTTTGTATTCAAGGATTTTTTTACATTATTTCCTTTAAAATTTATGCTTATGTCTTACGTAAGAAAATAAAATTTAATGCAAAGGAATCCCCTGTCTAAAACGGCATACTTTAACCAAAAAAGCATTTTCAGCATACAGATAAACAGGATAATAACGAATAAATATTCCTTTAAAATTTTCCCCATAATGTACATTTTTATTTTATGTTAATGCAAAAAAGAAAATGTGTATAAGGTTAATAAAGGAATATATATCATATGTTCTATTTCGAAAGTAATAATTTTGAAAGAATTTAGGTCTTTAAAATAATTATTCGTACGAAAAAACTACGCGAGAATATTTGTGATCTTGGTGAAACACATTTCCCATTTGTTTCTATGATATAACCATTTATAAAAACCCCCAATAAATTAGAAATGTTCCAAAATAACACCAATGCGAATTTTCATTAACTACATTCAGAAAAGTTGTAGCTGTAGAAACAAGAGTTCTATAACTTAAGAATGTGGGGAACAGAAATTCGTACGTGAAAACCGAATAAAATATTTAATACAAAATCCCATTGTCGCTATCGAACATATTTGAGCTTCATTCTTCAAAATGCCTCAAATCTGTTGAATAAAGTTGAGTAAAATTTTATATCTTTATTCACCGCAATCACATCTGATTTTTTTTTCAAAACCAAAAAAAAAAATTTTTATTAAATTTTAAATAATTTTATTAATTGATGTTATTAAAAAAAAAAAAAAACATTTTTGAGAACTCAACTACAGCAAATATTTAGCAAAATTTTCCTACCGAAATTTTGAAAAACACCATTTTATGCACTATGTGTTGGGGGTATTATAAGTTTGATTGGGCCAAAAATTATGTAACACCTCGAAATATTGCTCCCCAACATAGGAAACTATATATGGATCTTCCTATCTCACCGTCTGTCCATGGTGATTTTTAATCCCGCTACAGGCCGCAATTATGGCCCGATCCTCACAAAATTGAAAATGGAGGTGGGGTTAGGGTAACAATATAAGCCTATTGTTTTGGAGGTGGACCAAAAACAAAAAATTCCTGATGTTGCTCTGGCAGAAGCCTACCGATTTGGACGGTCATTGTACAATATTTAGCGGGTAAAAAGCCATAACATTCATGTGAAAAAATACGAAAATTTCCACTAAACCGCGAATATTTTTTACACCGGCCAAATCACAAAGACATTGAAAGGTCACTTCTGACCATTACAGTAATGGTGATAATCAAGATATAGCAAAATAGGTACAATATATATGTTATATATATTCCGCTTTGATAATGGTCTCTTGCCAGAAAATTATAAAATTTAAGAAAATCGCGTAAAAATATGACAATAAAAAAGTGAATATTTTTTTCTAAATTGTCGTCATAGTTTTTATCGCATGCGATTTTTTCAATTTGACTTACAATTTTGAATTGTACATTTTCTAAAGTTTTTCTACACACCGCAACACTGTGTGTTGTGGGTATTATATACAGGTTGCAATTATCGTTTAATCTCACGAAATTTTGCATGGGGGTAGGGTAAGGGTCAGAATTGAAGCCTATTGTTTGAAGATGTACATTTAGGGCTTTAAATGGAAAAAAAATAAATTTTTCCCAATTTTGCAGTCGCTCTACAGGTCACAATTGAAAACCAGTGAAGAAGTCTAGTATTTTGGATGACAATTGGATAAAATTAAGCTGTAAAATGGACCACAACCTTCGTATGAATTTGTTTTGAAAACCTAACAACACAGCGGAGTGCGTAAATATTGGCTAAATGCCTCCGGTCATAAAAGCTAAGGGCAACATCAGGGCAGGCCCATACGACATTATTTCAACAACGAAATCTTCTAAAATGGATTTGGACATAAGGCCGCTTCCAACATATAGTAGTGTTGTAGGGCACCACATCGTCGGCCCCGCACGGCTATAGCCTTTGCTTACTTGTTACTTTTTCCCTTCGAGCTATTCTACAACTTTTTTCTTCTTTAAATATTAAATTTTATTGCAATTTAAAAGATTTTTCTTTTGTTCTGATTTTTACTTACCCAGCGATCGTCCACGTAATTTTTCCGCTTCAATGTAATGGGCTTCCAGCCACATTGCCTGCAATTTTCCATATGAAGCTTTTGTAAATTTATGATTTTCAATTATTGCATAAAGTTCCCTGCGACGAAAAAAGAAAAATAAAAAGTTAGATGATTACAATTTAAAACTTTTATATATTTTACATTGGTATTTCAATAAAGCAAACATGAAGGGTTGTTTTCGGTGAGAAGTTAAGCACAAAATACAGATACACAGATATTTCTATCACTTACACTTAGGATTTAGGGTATTTGTATAAATATTGATCGTTTGGAAAGAGGTACCAGGCAAACTTATATATCAAATTATCGCAGAACAGATCTTAAGGTGGGAATACATAAAGCGCTTATTTGGCTGGCTTAAGTCATCGGCTGGCTTCTTCGCAAATTAACAAAGAAGCCTAGGCCCCAAACCAACTAAGTCAACCTAAAACTCCTTTATTCCTCTACGAAGAGGCCAACCAACAGCCAAATAGGCGCTTTATGTATTCCCACCCTTAGCCTGATATTTGGAATTTCATTTAAATCGTATGCTGCCTTTATTTTCTAGAGCGATGTTATTTTTTGAAAATTGTTACATAAATTTAAAAAAATGTAAATGTATCCAAAAATTTCAAAAAATAACATCGCTCGTAAAATTTATTTTTGTATTCTTAAAAAAACATTTTCAATGTAGGTGAACTATTTATAATCTAAGGTGAGAAATCGTGGAAGAAGTTTTTTTCTGGCTTAAGTCATCGGTTGGCTTTTTGAAAAAGAAACAAAAAATAATTAGGGAGGCTTGGTTAAATTATAGACAAACATTGACCTAACACTCTTTCGTTCTTTTACGAAATAGCCAGCCAATGGAAAACATACATTTTTAAAACTCAAAATTTAATTTAAACACCAAAATCGATTTTTGAAAAAAATTTTTTTTCTACACGCGGCGAATTGTGATTTATAATATATTTTTTTCGTTGATGCCACTATGTTATGTTACAGATTTTTGAACAAAGCCACAAAAAGTGAGGCTTTAACCCTAAAATATGTTTTTATTATATATGAATTCCTGACCTTTAGGTAAAATTTACACTCTTGATGTCTTCCAGGACCTACAGTAGAATTTTGTAACAAACAATTATTTTGGGATATTTTGACTTGACTTCCCGTTTGAAGGAAATACTTAATTATATTCTTATGAAACCAAAAATAACCCTTTGTTTACTCGCTTTAGGTTTTCTGCGAAAGTATTACTCGTATTTTTATCTGCAATACTGCCGTAGACACAATATACCTAAAATGCAGAAACTCCGAAAATCTCCAAAAGTGTGGAAGAAGGTGGAATTTGCACAAAAACTGATTATGTTTTTTATTGTACTGCCTCATAATAAAATTTAATCCAGAATATTTATTCTTCATTTATTTATACAGGGTTGCCCATATTCGACGGACCCATGTTTTTTTTTTTTTTTTTAAATCAAAGAAAAAAATAAAAATTTGGCGGTTGGCAATTAATTAATTTTTTCCAAGTAGATTTGTTTACATCAATTTTTGAATATGATATCTCTCAAATGGCCACCTCTGGCGTTGATGACGTATTGTGCCCTTTTTGCTGCATTTTCCATCGTTTTTGCCAACATTTCGGCCGGAATAGCGGGTATTCCTTCACGAATGTTGTCCTTGAGCTCTTCTACGGTCCTTGGCTTGTTAACGTAAACCTTTGACTTCAAAAATCCCCACAAGAAGAAGTCAGGCGGCGTCAAATCGGGCGAACGCGGTGGCCAGTCCAAATCACCACTTTACGACATCAAACGGCCCGGAAACAAATTCTTCAGAAAATCGATTGTTATGCGACTTGTGTGCGGTAGAGCGCCGTCTTGTTGAAACCAGAATAATCGGCATCACAAAATTGGTCATCATGTCGCGATAAAGCTCCTGATTGATGGTAACAGCATGGCCATTTTCATTTTGGAAGAAAAACGGCCCAATGACCGTTTTCGCACTAACGACGCACCAAACTGTGACTTTTTCGTCATGAAGAGGCACTTCTTGAATCTCCTGAGGATTTTCAGTGGCGTAAAAACGGCAATTTTGCTTATTTACGGTCCCATTCAATGTGAAATGGGCTTCGTCGGACATGATAATATAGATATAAAAAATAAATATAGAGATGACTCCCAATATTTGGTACTGGAAGTTCCTATGTTTATGCTGTTATGAATATTGTAATGGCTTATGACAAAAGTTGCCTATGCAGGACCACGTCGTCGTATAGACCCTAATACAATGGCTACATTTGGTATTTTTAAGATTTTAACAGAATTTTTAATAGATTTCATTTTTTTTTTTTTTTTTTTTTTGAAAATTGCAAAATTTTTTTACCTAATGATATCATAATTCTTATCGCATGCGATTTCTTCATCTTGAATTATAATTTTAAGTCGTACGTTTTCTAAAGTTTGTTTACACCTTACAACACTATGGGCTGAGGGTATTAAATACAGGTCGCAATTGTCGTCTGATCCTCATGAAATATTGCATGGGATTAAAGTAAGGAACGGATTCAAAGCCTATTGTTTTCGAAGATGTACATTCTGGGGTTCAAATGGACCAAAAAACTTAAATTTTAGTGATTGTGCAGTCCCTCTATAGGTAACAATTGAAATCCAATCGGACAGGGAAGAAGTTGAGCATTTTGTATAACAATTGGATTATATTTAGCGAATAAAATTGACCACAACTTTCGTTGAATTTATTTCGAATACACATCAACGCAGCGGAGGACGTTATTTCAAAAACGAAACCTTCCAAAACCGATGTAAACATAAAGTGTTCTAGGGTATCACATGGTCGGCCACGCACGACCATAGCCTTTGCTTACTTGTTTCTATACCCTACAACACTATGTGTTGGGGATATTATAAGTTTGATTGGGCCAAAAATTATGTAACACCTCGAAATATTGGTTTCCCATATAGGAAAGTATATATGGATCTTCCTAGCTCGCCGAGCTGAGCCGATCTAGCTATGTATGTCCGTCCGTCCGTCTGTCCATGTTAATTTGTAATCACGCTACAGGTCGCAATTATGGCCCGATCCTTACGAAATTTTGCACGAAGGTGGGGTTTGGGTCAGAATAGAAGCCTATTTCTTTTGGAGATGATCGCCAAATGTTTAGGGGTTGAAATGGACCAAATACTGAAAAAAGGTCGCAATTATAGACCAATCGACGCGGAATTTCTCATGTAGCTAGAGTTTCGGGCAGGGAAGAAGCCTACCAATTTGGGTGGTCATCGGATAATATTTAGCGGGTAAAATATCTTTTATGTTGAAAATTTTCAAATTTTTCATTAAACCGCGAATATTTTAAATCCCGGCGGAATCACAAAGCCATGACAAGGTTACTTCTGATCTTTACATTGATGTTATTATCCAACAAATCGGATATATAGCAAAATATGTGCGATATATATGTCTATCAAAGAAGATATGCTTGAAAGATCTGTTATATGTCGAGAACGGCTGAACTGATTTCCACAGTTCTCATTAATTCAAAATGGCCTCTTGGCAGGAAAGAAAAAACGTCTAAAAAAATCGCATAAAATATCTCTCTAAAGATGAAAATATTGATTTTGTAAAATTTTCTCATATTTTTTCAGTTTTGTCATATTTTTGGCATATCTTCATTTTGAATTAAACATTTGGTAATATTTCTATAGCTAACAAAACTAAGTAGTTAGGATATCAGTATATCATATACATATCGCATTTATGGCCCGATCCTTACGAAATTTTGCATGGGGATAAGATGATGGTCAGAATAGAAGCCTACTCTTTTTGGAGATGATCGCTATATATTTAGGGGTTGAAATGAACCAAAAAACTGTAAAATTTTCAGCAGGTCGTAATTATCGCCCGACCCTCACGCACAACTTTTGTAGACAAAATACGAAAATGTCCATTCCAGTGACTTTTTGGAGAGTTCACAAATACAGGAAAGACGCACTTCTGACTATTTCGTTAACGCTGATTTCGATGAAGAATTCAGTCAAATGTCTGCATCTCATATAGATGCGTTACAGTCAAAAACCAATAATAAATGTTAATCTTTTGCCACTTCTGAGAGATTATAGGTCTTTGGGAAATATTGGTTCCAGATCTAGGAAGACCATTTACGTGCAACATCTGCCAATAAAATGGAAATGAGCAAATTAGTTTAAGTTGCTATTATTCGAAAATTAGAGAACGAAACCTGATGGTTTTCTTTTATTATTTGTCACAATATCTTGTGGAATTCTTTCGAGTATCTCGCCTATATAAACTGTATGACTTATTATAGTGTTGTAGGGTATTCAACGGTCGGCCCCGCTCAACTGTAGCCTTTGCTTACTTGTTTTGAAATGAATTTAATTATTGAACTACTCATATACTACCTACAAACTACCTAAATATTTCCTGGCGGGGCACATTAACAGATTGTTCCTGCCGAACTTAATTCCTTTATTTTCTTTATCATTTTTTACATAATGACGTCGACATACAGGTTGAAATAAAAAAAACTGCAACCAGCAGTTTGTAAACAAACAACATGATCGTGTTTTATTGCCAAAGAGGTCAGCTGAAAATGTGCACCTTCGGTTGGCCACCTAAACTCAAGCGCGGGTCATGGTGATGGTGTGAGCCGCCATAACAGCCGATGGTCGCTCTCCGCTCGTATTAATCGACCGTGGCATCAGAATAAATGCCGAATATGATAGCGAAAATATTCTGGATGGTTTATTAAAACCTTGGGCACGCAAACATTTTTACCGCAGACCTTAGACACTCCAACAGGACTCAGCACCATCGCACTCAGCACGCGCCACCCAAGAATGGTTACAAAATGAGGTTCCTCGCTTCATTTCTAGCGCACAATGGCCACCCAAATCTCCGGATACCAATCCGTTAGACTATTGTGTCTGGAGTATTTTGGAAAGCAAGGTTGGCACTAAAAAATACCGAAATGTCGATTACCTCAAGCAAGCGCTTCGCCGGGAATGGGCCAAAATACCGCAGAGCAACATTCGGGCAGCGTGTGACGGTTTCATTGGCCGTTTGATGACTATAATTCGTGCCAAAGGTGGCCAATTCGAACAAATCTAAACTTATTCTAAAATTTGATTCTATTTCCGACATTTTTTGGTCTCATTCAATTAAATTTAAAAATAAAAAGGAAAAAATAATGGCGTTTGACATTGTTGCAGTTTTTTATCTTGCCTATGCGACTATTCGTTTTAAATACATACACACTACCTACTATAATGTCTCCTTAAATATCTCCTCTTCAGGATATACAATTTTTTCAAATAGTCGTTGATCATGCAAATTCAATAGTACCAGACTTTTCTTATAAAAGTCACAAATACACCCGTCAATTATATTTGTGACCAAGGATAATAAAATAAATAAAGGGAAATACAACGAAAGAAAGACATCCCTTATTTGCGGGGGTAGTTAATAAAAATCAATCACAATTTTATGCACCATTCTGTTTCTGACATATTTTTGATTAGCACTTGAGAAACAAGTCAAGAAGTTTTCTAATAAATTTACAAAATATAATCAATTCCAAGAAATACAAATTTTTTATTTGGCCAAATATAAACAATCATACTCATGTAGGTTTTGATTTTTTTTTAATATGGGTAATATAAAACCCCATTTGAATTAATAAAGAATTTTGATTTTGTTTACTGCTTTTTTTATAAAAACTAAATTTTTTATTAAACCCAAAGAAGTAATTTGGACGAAGTTGATGCATAAATTCCTTTCCTGTAATTTGATATGATATTATTTTTTTTAGTTTTTGCGTTTTTGCAGAAAACAAGTTAACGGAAGCCTTTCCGTACCTCAGCCCGATTTTGTGGCTGCTGGTTTTAAAAAAATAACAACAACTGTATGATTTCCATAAAAAGAGATCAGCCTTTCAATTCTCGGTGTTATATTTCTAATTGCTGAAAAACAATTCCGCAATTGCCAAGAAAACCATTGTTATTTGTATGCCTGCGGTATGCCATGCCATGATGTTAATTTATAAATTAATCACATTGTTTATTAATTTAGTTTAGTCGTTGTCGTTTATGTTACGCTCATACTCATTATTATCATCATGTGCTTTTTTGTGGTAGTTTTTTTGTTTTTTTGCATTATCATTTCATTAATTTGTTTAGCGTCTTCCTTTAGTGCCGCGACGTTTTTGTTCCTTATTGTCTTCTCATAAGCAAAACAAAATCCACTTTCCCCCTCCATTCTTTATTTAAATATGTCCCAATCGAAACACACACACAAAAAACCAGGAAAGATTCATTAAAGAGTTCAATTTTTTAAATTTAAAGATCATATTACAATCCGGCTGCTTTATTGGGATGAAGTGAATAAGTCGCTGCTTGTTCTACTTCTTTATATATTGTTTTCAGTTTAAATTTAAAGTGATTAAAAAATAATTAAGATCATTTAGTAGTGATGTGGGGTATCTGAGTTGAATTGAAGCAAATTAACTTCCAATTAATGTCAATTTTGGGTAATATGTATGTATGTATGGTTTGAATATAGATTTTGTGGAATTTGTGACTATAAATAAAAAGCATAAAAACATCCTAATATATAATAACTGCGATTTCTGATATGTAAAGGGAATTCAATATTCGATAATTCGGTTAAGATTTTCAAAAACCAAAATCTAATACGCATCAAGATTTTACAGTATCCAAAAAAATGAATTTTAGTTAGGCTATTTCAATTCGCTGCTTACTAAAACGTTCCTCTTTGCTAAATTCCTTTTTAGCGAAAACGTTAAACTCGCAGGCGCGTTTTTAAAATAACTGAAATTGGGTGGTATACGTTTTACTATGAAATAATTCGGATAAACATACTGAACAATGTTTTTAAGAAGATCTCTTCTTTTCAAAATAGAGGCTGGTATTTTCAATTTTAGCAAAACGGAAGTTTTAGCAAATCGGAATATCAATAAGTCTGGTCCAAATTCTCTTGTAATTACTTTTCGATCTTGTGACCAAAACGACATTCAGACGGGTTGAGGGGGTTTCCCCCAAAAATATTTTTTTTTAACAGTAGAAATTCACTTTTTTCTATTTAAATTTATTGTGGTTTTCATATATTTTCATTCAATGAACATGATTTAAGTTAAAATTAAAAACAAGAAACAAAACGTAAATGGGAAAAATGGAATTCTGTAGAATGGAATTTTAAAACATGCAATAATTCGGTTTGTTTATAACAGCCTGTTTTTGTAACAGTATTTTACCTTTCGTTTGGAATTTTTGCGATAAAAATATATATATTTTTGGGTTTTTGTTGTGCATGTTCTTTTTGTGAGTAACAAACACAATAAAGCTTTTCCCCCTTGTATTTTTGGTTTTTGTAACGAAAAATACAAACGAAAATGTCAGAAAAAACGATAAGAGAAGACCCATCGGTTGGAACATAAATTGGCTGTTAGTTGTTAGTTAATGGTCCAGAGTTTTTACAATTTTTATAAAAACACATATTTAAACGAATACGTTTGAATACGAACGATTCGAGTAAAAGTAACTTTTTTACAAAAACATACTGTAATTCCTAATCGATAAATTGTAGAAAACGCAATAAAAAAGTTTTATCCAAAACTTTCTTTCTCAATTTTAGGATAACTATTTTACTGTCATTAATTGTAAAATAGTTAAAACTAAAATTCGTTACACGGTAACAAAATTAGCGCCTAATTGTACATTATTTCAGTATTTCACGAAATATAAGAAGAACTATAAAATACACGAAGTTTTTTTAATATTTATAGCCTACAACACCATGTGTTGGGACTATTATAAGTTTGATTGGACCAAAAATTATATAACACCTCGAAATATTGGTCCAAGACATAGGGAACTATATATGGATCTTAATAACTCGCCCATCTAGTTATGTCGCTGAGTCGATATAGCTATGTATGTCCGACCGTCCGTCTGACCGTCTGTCCATTTCAAAATGTAAACACTCTAAAGGTCACAATTATGTCATCGTCACGATCGTCACGAAATTTTCCACGGAGGTGGGGTTAACATTATAACAGAAGGCCATTAGATGCTCTAAAAAATGCTCTAAAAACTAATCTACAAATCGGAGAGTGGACTCTGTGCGGAGAGTTTAGGGCTTGCAGAAGCCCACGAATTTGGATAGTCATCAAATACTATTTAGCGGGTGAAAAAGACCATAACTTTTATGTAAAAAATAATCCGAAAATTTCCACTTAACGGTGAAATCACAAATTCCCGAAAAAGTCACTTCTGACTGTTACATTGATGCTGATATCCAAGGTATCGCATATATAACAAAATGGTGACAATTCTCACCATTTCAGAATTGCCTTTTGGCAGGAAAGAATTAAACATTTAAAAATCGCATAAAAATGCAAATTAATATGTGAACGTTTTTCTGTAATATTTTGCAAAATTTTTTAATCATATTTTTTGAAGAATAAGATTTTTTGACTTTGCGATATTGAAAGGTACATTTTGTAATATTTGTCGCCTTACAACACTATGTGTTGGGATATAATATTCAGGTCGCAATTATTGTCCGATCTACTCGAAATTTTGCATGGCTAATGACGATCAGTTCTCTAAGGACAAATAGACGTCGACATCAGCTCTGTCAAATACTGATGCTTTTTTAGAGCTTGGAATCAATTAAGGAAATCAAAAATGAAAACTAAAAAATGAAAGTCTTGAAGTCGAGTTAAATTGGGTGTGTCTAAACTCATAGCTTTCGGTGTTCTATTAAAGTGAAAGTCTATTTTTACAAATTACACAAAATGCTCAAAATAGATGATTACGACTATTGTATTATTTTGAATTGTCGAAAGAGAATAATTTTGAAGGGTGAACAATTTTTTTTTTAATTATGGATGCAGCTTTAAAAAAGTGATATTTGAATTAGGTTCGTTTTCTTTCGAGATGGAAACGAAAGAAGGTTTCGATTGCTGGCCATGAAATAATTCCCGTTTCAAACGGATGATATAAGAACATGAGTTGCGTTCCAGAAAACTCAGTAACATTTACTGTCAAAATAAAGAAAGCACATACAAATATGGTGTTCTCTTTACTATTTTAACTATACGAATTTGACCGAGTAAGAAATTGTAGCATATTTGCCAGTTACTGTTTGAATGAAAAAAATGCAGAAAAAAACTGTGATGTATATAAAAGTTCAATGCTATCAATAAACAAAGCCACCTATTCAAAATATTTCTAATTCAAAAAAAATAAATAAAAAAATTCTTGATTTCCAATTTAAAATTCTTCCATTTCCAATTGAACTTCTCAACTTACCTGAAATTTCCAACATGATATGCCACCACGGCCCGTGCCCTCAATACCGCTTCACAATTCAATATTTCGTGCATATTGGGCAGCGCTACCGGCAAACTCCAGAGAAATCTGGCTAAACGTTCTATATCGCCGGAATCTTCCAGTGTTTTGCAGACAATCTCCACTTGGGCGGCTGAAAAGGCAAGCGTCGGTATGGCCAAAATGGGACTGGGTGCTATGATTTGATGGGCAGCAGCAACAATGGGTACGGTGGCGGGTGCTGGTGAGAAATTTTCTTGAGGAGGTTGAGGTTGTTTACCCTCCGTCGGTCCAACGGCCATTTTATTCGTTGAATCCACTGTGAACAACTTTGCATACTATACTTGCAGCGATGATGTGAATAATTTTGGTGGCGTTTGTGTAATCGGGTGGAGCACACAAATGGAGGTACGTTTTTCGTTTGAAAAAATTTAACAAAAATAAGTTAATTTGTTTTTTCCTTTTTTGAACTTGTTTGAACTTCCTTATTTATTTTCTCTCTTTTATTGAAAGCACTCGCGTTTATGGACTTATTGGCTTGAGCTTTGTCCATTTGTTTCGAACTGGTTTTCACTGATCATTACTGTGGATTGATTTATTTCATGGGAATACCATATTGGGTTTTGCACTCATTATATCTTTTATTTTTCACTATTACCAAGTAGCTACTTCTTTGGTTAGTGTAGGCATTAATACCATCGGGAGTTCCTAGCAATTTTGGTCCGCAAACGTAAATAAATATGCTGTGATTTCTTTATTGCACCGTATATAATCACAAACTAGCTTCAAGTGGCTAACTACCAATGAACAACACCAGGCGAAACGGATATTTTGAAATCTATATTCGGGAACTTTGTGTTCGAATGTTGATGCAGGGGAGATGGGGGTAGGTATGTATGTATATCATCCAATCAAGTAGTCAGCCCACAAGTAAAAAACAAACACAATATTTCTTTTATTATAAATTCACTTTTTTCTTATTGTTATTTGTTATACGCCGTCGCCAATTTAACTTCTCCGACTGAACCTCCAATGGATAAATGTTGAAACGCTGAAGCGGGGCTACTGCTACTGTCACTAATTCAGCTGCCGGTTATTTTTGTAGGTAGCGTATTGTAATGTTGTTATGTATAGCAGCTTATTCCATATTGAGCGAGTATCATTCCCAACAAAACACGGACACATACATAGCTACGTACACACACACTCATGCACATTGATATGGGAAGAATAACAACAACCACCACTACCACTACTTGCTCGCACTACCGTTTTAAATATGAAATGCCACAATGAACCGAACGGAAGATACGATACGTCGTTGCCTTTGCGTTATAATAACACCACACAGATATTCTTCCACCAAAAACAAAAAAACAGCATCAACACAAACACACACTCAGTGATCCAACAACCACGGTTCGCGGTATCTTCTCGCAACAATAAACGAGGCGAGTATCATGAACAGCCGTTATGTACAGGACCAGGCTGTGGTAGATTCCCAGATGCACAGACACATAAACAACCTCGTCTACTACGACGCTATACGCGGCGAAATATACTTTCATACACCACACAAAAAAATAAAACAAATTGCTTTGAAGGAGCCAAGAAAGAACACAAAAAACACAACAGAGACGTGTCAGCGATGCGCTCAATTTTAAAATTAACTCATCACCGTTCCAATGGCAGATACAATCTGAAATATTGTTAAATGGAGATGCAAGTGAAACCAGAAAAAGAAACAACATCATATCATCATCATGCACACCTCAAACACTCACACGCAGTAGCAACAACAACAGCAAACAAAAAGGCGTAGCCAATTTTCCTCTTTACTATAGCCAACAGCTTTGGATCTCTTTCACACATACAGTTCTCCTTTTTACTCCCAACGCCATTTGTAAACAAGAACTCTTTTGAAACCGGGCTCTTTCCTATTAGAATTAAGAAAATTCTATCTATCTCTCTCTTTATTGCACAAATTCGACTACTCATGAACGCCACTATCTCTTTCTTTTCCTCATACTCTCTATGAAGGCAAAGCAAAACGAATCTCATTACAACCCATAGATGCCCAGTAGTGGCTGATTTCAGCAATTTCAACTCACACGTATTCTTACGCTCCTTTGTTTGATCGCCAATCAACCAATAGGAAAGCAGAAATATGACTGGGAGAGACAAGCTACACAGGCAGAAATTCTGTGTAATATTTACATTTAATCGTAATCGAGACTGCTGTTAGTGAACACATAAACTGAAAATTGTTGCGATATGTCAATGATGTCATTTCAAAAGCATTTTATGCTACAAAATGCTTTTGATGATATGCAATGTGTTATATGTTATAAGACATTTAAAAAAATAAGAAATATAATAAAAAAACATTTTGAAACTGTTCATAAAGACATGAATTGTTTGCAGGGGGAAGAAAACGAAAAACGATTTAAAATGTATAAGAAAATTTTTATAAAAAAGTTGAAGGAATGGGTAAATCAATATAGAGATAATGATGAAGATATGGTGGAGGAGAATTTAAAAATGGGTTTATCTAACTTAATAAGTTTATATATTATAAAAAAGGGAAGGCCATTTTCAGATGGGCCGTTTGTCAGAAATATGTTGTGTCAAGTTTTTGAAAAACTTAATTTTAACAATAATTTTATTAAAAAATTACCTTTGTCCCGCAATAGTATAACCCGGCGATCCCTGTACATTCATTAATTTTACATTTCCCAGAAAAAACAAAAAATTACGACACCCGCCACACATGTGCTTTGACGACTAAATAAAATGAATAGAAAAATATTTTCTTCCAGTGTTATTTCGTCGCTCTCACCAATACTATTACATTGGGCATCTATGTTACAACCCCAATGCGTTGTGAGCACACAGTTAGTTGACTCCTGTTACATTTGTTGTTGTTTCCATCTTTTCTCTTAGAAAACACAATGGTGTGTGTGCCATTGAATGTGTTCGGCTATTATTAAATACAATGATATGACTAACAACGTTTTCTTTTTTCTTCGTTTTGTTGAGAAATATACCAACTGAAAATGTTCGTTGCTCTTGTTGTTGTTGCTGCCACTGCAGTGTGAGTGTGCCTTCCCGTATTTTATATCCATTTAACTTTGCCAGAGTTAGTTTCAATACTTCACAGCTCTCCTTGCCCTCTTTCATTGTATTCATGAGCTATGCAAGCCAACCATCCTGCAATCTTGTTTGACAGTCGTTTAGTCAGTGGCAACCTACAGTGAGACAATAATAACAACAACAGCAGAAGCAGTTGGAACAGCAGCTGATGATGGTGATGAATATCTTTTTCGGTCGTGTCGTATTTCTGTAATTGTTGCCAATGTTTCAATGTTTCCATTGTTATTGTTGTTGCTCTTGTGTTTGTAACGGTAGTATATCCTTTACGTACAATTGTGTATGTGTGTGTATACACATCGTATTATATTTGGCACATTACATTCAACTTGGGCCGAGATCTATTTACTTTATTTCGTTTTGATAATTCATTAATGGATTACGAATACAGCAGAGGCTTACAAATGAAAACTAAAAAAATGTAATAATAATACATAAAGAATACCTCGTTTTTGCATAGTGGGATGCTAGTCGGAAATACGACAATAAATTTATTATTTCAAAGGAACTTCTTGGAGAAATTAACAAGTCATAATTTTATCTAGTATTGTTGGCAAATACCTACGTTTAATGTAGCAGTAGCAGTCGGTACCTAAAGTTTGTCTTCATACAATTCACCAATCCAGAATGCTCTGTTGGCAAAAAGGATAAATTTAAAAAAAAAAACACACATCATTATAATTATGTAACAATATATACCATAAGTTTTAAGTTTATGAGGTAAACAAAACTAGATACCTTGCAGCATGGACATAAAAGTTTTGATATAGGTGTTCACGGAATCATTTATTCATGTCATGCATATCGAGCTTTTAGAGGAATGGATTCAAAAGACTGCATCAATGTGTAAGACTGCTGGTGAGAGCTGATATTTTTAACGAAGCGCATGTTGTTTTTTTATTCAGACGGAAATTTGATAAAATTGCAAGATATACGGGTTATGCAATTTAATATAAAGCTTATAATGTTCTTAAAAATATGCATTAAACACTAAAATTAAAGGCCGGCCATACGCACCGTGTCAGCCGGGGCCCAATTGAAAAACAGGATAGTAAACGGGTTTAAAACACAAAAAAAAAAAAAAAAAAACATAACATCACCTAATTTCACGAGTCCAGCTCCTTTCACTCATATCAAGAATTTTTTAGTTATACCAATCCACCACATTTAGTACTATTCAGTACTTTTCGTATACTTACAATGTGAATTTCCAAAAACAACCCCTTTATTCCATAATATATTATAAATATTCTCAATATATATTTTAATGTCAATTTTGTTCTTCAGTATGAATTTCATCAAACCTATCAAAAGCCCTCTCAGATTATATACAACCCTATATTTAAAACTTTTTAAAAATGTCTATACATCTATAATGGGAATTTGACAAATTCCCGCCTTTCCTCGAACTTTCCCTTGAGGAATGACCACAATTCAGTTCTAGGTTTTACCAAACTCTCTCCCCTGTAGTCAACCGCAAACTTAATGGAAAATATCAATTCTCTGCATATTTCGTTCAAAATGCACCAGTTGTATGGAAAGTATAAGGATTTAGGTTTTTTATGAATCAGTCACACAATAATTTAAGAAGTCAACGCCAATTTTCAGCAAAGTGGGTATTTATTTCAGCACAATTTCACAACTACAGTATTTAGTACTTAAGGACTTTTAGTACTAATAAAGTACGAGTTTGAAACTGATATGTGTTACTTTTCGTAAATTTGTTTGTACCAAAAAGTACAATTTCAAAAATAATGTTTCTGGAAACACTTCAACTGACCAGAAAAACTACAAAGAAAGCTTCTTAATTATAGTTCAAACAGTGCAGTATTTAATAATTTTTAGAACAAAACTCCCCTTAATCTCATGCCATGTAACCTACAATATTTAGTGCCGTTAAGTATTGATTTCCAAAAACCTCACATTATCTGGTATTTTGCACCAGTGAAGCCTAATGTCATAGTTTAAGTACAAATGCCATATTTAGTACTAATAAGTATTTAGTACAATTTAATACTTTTTATGAAAATTTAATAATTATACCCCTACGGTATGGTTGACATAAAGAAGTGGTTGTGGACATGCGACTACAAGTATACGAAATGTACTTAATGGTATTATATTTGGTATTTGGTAGACGGAGGGGGCTTGAAATCTGAAATTTGACTTTATGGTCACTTTATGAGCGGCGCGGCTGAGATTTGGGGGTAATTTTGGAAATACATGTTAAAAAGTACGAAAAGTACTAGATTGTACTAAATATGGGTTTG